GAGCGGAGAGAGACGAGCCGTATCAACGGACGCTGATATCCACTGATCTAGAATAAAAGTGACGCAAAGATGAGAGGCATGGGATCCGGCAACGAAGGGAAATCGAGAGGCCATCGAACAGAGCAAGATGAACAGAGACGGTAGACGAAGGCGTAAGCTTGCATCGCTCGCTCGCCGGCGCGGCCTCGCAGCCAACCGCGGCGTAACGCTCTGAAACACTTCGAAAATAAGAATTTAAAAAAACCAGCTACGGGTGGATCGGCCGAGCGGACGAAAAATTGCAGGCTAATGCACACGGCCATCAACGCGAATAAGAGAATGGTCTCTCTTCTGGTCGTTCTCAGGCGGCGATGCTCTCGTTGCTTTTTTTCATAATACGATCACCAACCGGCACGTACAACTATATAAATGAGATTTGAAGACCGGCGGGATGCAGCACTCGGACCTCCGCCGTAGGTTCCGCAGGATCCTCTCTAATCTCTAAGCGCGTGTTTGCTCGCGAAATCGCGAAATCGTCAAGTCGAATATCGACGTCGTAACGCTTGGTTACTCTCGTTGTGTCGTTGACGGCAACTTCGAAGGCAGCTAGGATCCAGGTGGTACCATGGACTGGCTCGGGAACGCGTCTAGAAGCGGAGGGCAACAACGTCGTTGCTTCACCATCTGTTTGTTAATCATCGCTTGTATACTCTCTGCCGCGAAACAAGCTTACTCCGCCGACGCCAACGACACGAAGGACCCTTTCGGCGTATTTTCCACCGATTGCTCGAACTCGGACTCCAAAAATGTATCTGTATCCTGTTACGGAGTCAGGATCGTTAGGAAGATCGTCAAACAGCTGCTGGAGAAGACTAGCAACGAGCCTAACATCGAGATCTTCGACGGGGTCAGTTTGGTCGAGGTACCAGGGGCTGCATCGATGAGAAAGGGAAGGCTGATGAAGGGATTTGGTAGCGTGGGCAGTTTGATACAGTTTCTGGAGGGAAGAGAGCTCAGAATCAAGCTGCCGAGTTTCTTGCCGCAGAACATCGAGAGTGCTCTTCGGGAGAGCCTTCCGGTGGATCAAGGTCGATTCGGTTGATTCGATTATTGGAAGGATAATTCTGTTAACTAATGGGTTTGGTCGATTAATTAGATTTTCTTTCGATTGCAGCCAGAGGAGGTGGTGGCGGTGGATTCGGCGGCGGCGGCGGAGGCGGTGGTGGCGGCGGAAAGAAGGGCGGCGGTAACGGAATGATGCTAATGGCGCTCATGATGGGTAAGTTAATTCTTAATTGTAAACTTCGTGCTTTTTCTTTCTCCTTACGATCTTGAACGAACCTTCGATCTTAAAGTAAGGTAACAAAATTTATGGAGGAATGCAAAACAATATCTTGTCTCAAGTAGAAGTTTCTTGTTTCAAAATCTTCAGATCTAAAAGAGCTAAGACTACTTCTTTCTAATGAAAACAAAATTCTCGTTGTTAAGGATCACCTCAAATTTCTTCAATTTGGTATTACTTTCTCGAGAATTTCGCTCGATCAAATTGGAATCTTGTTGCCCACAGACATATATATCTACAAATTTCAAACCTCAAAATCTAAAACCAGACGCACAAACTTCCAGATTCAGATTTACGTCTCATAATTTCAATTCTGACATCTACGCACCTGTACTAACACTCATACAATACTAAAGTTCATAATTATAAACGAAATAAACATGTGACCATTTGCTGCCTTAATTAAACTTATCTGATTGTTATCGTTAATGTTTAAATCTATGAAAATGACTCTAAACTCTAAACTCATCAGGCGTCGCCCTGCTAAAGGTATTTAAATTATTATATTACCTTATCTATTTTTTACTATCGGAACTCTACTAACTAACTAGCATCGATTGCGATTATGTGACTTCCAGGGAAGATGATGGCGGCGCTAGGATTCGGTGCCCTGGGTCTGCTAGCCATGAAGGCGTTGATGGTGTCGGCGTTGGCACTGATGCTCTCGTTGATCGTGGCTGTGAAAAAGTTGGCGAGCAGCCACGACAGCGGCGGTGGTCACCACGTAGTCTACGCACAGGACGTCGGTCATCATCACTACCGGAAGAAGCGATCCATCGGCGACGAAGACCACGACCTTCCGTACAGAGGGTACGCGCACTTGTTCGGTGATTCGCGGGTGTCCTGATCCGATCGATCGTCCACGCACACGCACTCACAGCCGTTCGTCGTAGATCCTTTGCGAGATACGGGCCAAGCCGATACGGCGGGTCAATTGACTCGCGATGTTTGAAGAGACTTTACGAAACAGCCACCAGACAAAACACGGGACAAGGATGGCGACGATTCTTGACAGTGACGACGACATTGACACGGTAGCAGTGACAGACGTGACGGACAGATCAGACGTTAGAAAGTGACATTTTAGAGAATTCGTTTCGCACGTGAGACGCAGTGATGAAAATGATCGGTTGTGGTCCATGGGTGATCGTGGCAACGGGGAATCGACGACACGGACGGACGCTGGAGAAACCAAAGTACACTCTGTCGAAACATGTTTATTTATTACCCCTCATTCTCTCTACACGTTCATTCATTCAGCATTCTTTTGTACTATTTATTTATTGCGCAATCGAATAAATGAATAATCCAACTAATTATCTGAATTACTAGAAATTACTAGAAAGTTCGAATGTGTTCCATTCTACCAACTATCACCTAATCAAGATTTAAAAAAAAGAAAAAAAACGAACGAAAGATAGAGAAAGAGTGTTCATAGATCGCAGCTGTTGGAGGAGAACTCGAGTAAATTCGAGAACGATGGACCAGGTGTTTCGAGCGGAGGATCTTTCGAATAGGATCCGATCGAGCGTAGAAAAATCGGGCGACGGAAACGGTGCCGATCGAGGAAAGTGTGCCAACGAGTCGCCATACCGTGCGTTGCATATTTCCTTCTGCCGCGTGGCGTGCTTACGATGCTCGATGCTCGCGATTACACTCTCTCGTCTATCCTATTCCTAATCGAACGGATTAACGAACATAAAACGGCGAATAAACTTCGTGCGCAGGACTCTTTCCCCGCCGCTTCGCGATCCGGATGCCCGTGTCGGTAGGACGGTTGTGGGTAAGCGTGTCTCGCAAGTAGCACGACGCGGTTGTGTAAGAAATCGTGCAAAGTGAAACGTTTCACGAGGAAACGAACGTCTCCGCGAGCAGTGTATTTTCGTGTTTGTGTGATCGCAACTACCATCAACTTTATTCGCGTTACTCGATCAGCCAGATGTTCGAGTTAACGATTAACGATCTCCATCTTCGAACCGATTTCATCATTCGCACCTGCTTAACGATACAAAGTATAAATAAATTCTGGAAAGGGAAAGAAATTTGTCGACGATTAAAATCTGACGACTGATTCATAAAAACGGCGTTTGTTTCGCCGCGAGTTTCCCACGACGATCGTTGAGCAGTCGATCGAGAGAATCGGCGCAGTTTTACAGGGTCTCTTCCTCTTTCTATGCACCTTCTCCTCCCCACCCGAGGTAACCTCACGTTCCCCTACTCGACGCGATTCAAGTTCCTCTCGCGTTCCTCTCCTTCGACTCGAAAGTCTGGCGGGAGGAAAAGCGCAGTCGGGGGCCGAGACCCACTGGCACACATTCCGGACGCTTCCTTTTTTACGTTCGAGAATATCATAAAACGGGGGAAACGCGGTGGTAATCGGCTCAGATCGCAGCCAACGATCGGCAAGCACGAGCAACGCGCAGACCGATAACGGAAATGCAATTACTCTTCTTTCACAGTTGTAGCCGATGCAATCTTCTGCTATTAACATCGAAACGTGTTGCAAATCTCTCCGAGAATTTCTTCGTCCAATTAAAGACGCATTAGAATTTGTAATTTCACTTTTTATCTCGTTCTTCTCTCGCCACGTCTTGCGAACATCCGCGAATTTGCTCATCAGCGGGTTAAGTGTTGTTCATTAATAAATCAATTACTTCATCTCGATTGACTTTCTACATTTAAATTCCTCGACAATAAATTCCCCGGATCATTTTTTTCATTCATCTTATCGGAGTAAGTATCTTTTCCTCTCATTTGCGACTCGCTCTGCTTTCATTTTCTTCCTTTTCTTACGTCCCGACAACCCCCTCTCGAGCAGCCGGCTTTTATCGAAATCGGCACGTAATTCTCGCTCTGCTTTCGTTTTTCTTCCACCGACCGATGGGCGACAGGCGGCGACATGGCGATTAAAGTTTTATAGCGCCGTAAACTCGAGCGCGGACTGCTACACTGACGTCAGCTGCATCGCCAAGGGAAAACGAAAGTTAGAACGTTTTCGTGAATGGACCGGCGAAACCGCGACAGGTCCCGTGGCTCTTCTTCGTTTCCAGATACGAGAGAATCGAATCAGGTCAACGGATTCACCAAGTTCCCTCTTCTCGAAGTTTCGTGACATTTCCGTTGATATCAACGGGGAGCAGCCAATCTGTTGCCAAAGATTTATCAGTCGAATTTGAATAGTAAGAGGCTTCTGGTTACGAATATGCTGTCAATTTTTCTAGATTGACTCTGGTTTTTCAAACATATTTTACAAACATTGTTACCTCCAAAATATGCCTGACACTGTTTTACGAAGTCCGCGATATTTTTCTCTTTCCTCCACGACAGTGTATTTGCCACAAATATAGCAGAAAACATTAAAATTATTTACACACTCTTTTCGCAAGGTATTTACTTTCACGGAGATATTAGTTAAACTAAAATTAATAAAACAAGTTCCTGTTATTTTTTTAGGAGGGAGTAGTTGACAAGCAAATTGAATGTACGTCTTTTGTCAAGTAAAGCAAGTTTCAATCATTTGATAGGTAATCACAATTTGAGAATAGGTCAGATTTCGATTATTTTAAAAATCAGAGTCAATTCAGCCAAAGTGAATATATCAGAACGATCAAATATTATATAAACCGATCTTAAACCTTTGGCAATATAAGAAAAAAAACTTTTTCTTGTTCCCCGATATATTACAGCTCACCGAACCGCTATCGAAGACTCCTTACGTTCAATTAATTTATCATTCCATCGTTGCCGAAAGTAGCCTTTAACACGAACGAGGAATCCGTTATGTTTCACGCTCATTACTGATCAAAAGGAAATTTAAAATTCAAATGCGGCCGATCTTACGAAGGCGCGTATGTCAACGATGGTCTTATCGCTGTGCTGAATAATCTGACGTATCTGAGTATTAAAATTATGGGAAAATGGAAGAAAACGTTCAGTTTGGAACTAGAAATGCTATTACAAGTGGCACGGTTGCGTAAATTGCGCTAATGGTTGGTGGATGATCAGAGAATCAACGATTTCGATGTAAATGAGTTACGAATAGGAGTTTTGAATTTTCTCGAATTCCTCCGTCGTGAAGTTTCCAGGCCTCTGAACGTGGAAAGTAGAATTTCTGATCAAGAAAATTATAAGATTACCTGAAGATGGTAATTAAAACAAAATTTAAATTCACAACGAACGCGTTCGAAAGTTGATTTATAAATTCAGATGTATGTTTCGTAGTCAAGTAATGTAATTACTACGGATTTTTATTTATTTCGTACGTGTAAAAAGTTCTTTATTAACATTAAAAAAATTATTGAATAATGTATGAAGGTATCAATGTGCGAAATTTAGATATGTACAACTTAATTATTATGAAATGTTTATATATTCTGTAGATGTGAAAAGTTTTTTTTATCAATATTAAAGATTGAAGTGCTTAATCTGCAAAACTGTTTTGAAAACGTTTGATTTATTTATTATGGTTTATAAATGAAGTTTCTTTCTACTCAAATAACTTAATTCTTATGAAACGTTTATATATTTCATAGGTGTAAAAATTCTTTAATATGAATTAAATTCTTTAATAATGAATTAAACTATAATAATAATATTAAAAATAATTAATAATACTAAATGTAAAAAACTTAGCCTACTAAAATTGATTTGAAAATAGATCTATAAATTGCGTTCTTTTCCATTCAAACAACTTAATTATTTTGAAACTTTTATTTATTTCTGTAATTGTCGAAATTCATCTTACGAGTTCTTGAACGTTTTCCAATCTGTAAAACATTACAGACAGTCGATAGAATGAAAGCGACGCACGTTTGCTTGAATAATTTAAAATAGCTTGCCGCTACAATTCGGGCAAATGTAAAACAACGACTTGACGAGTCGACGATCGTGTCTTCGCGAATAAAAATGCGTAACGTACAGAATTGGTAAGTAACAAGTTCCCAAAAGTTTTCGGCGAGTCATTTGAAAAAGTAGACTAGGCGAAATTCCTCGATTCTTGATCCGCTTGATCGGTCTTGACCTCATTCTTATCTAATATTCTCTATCTCACTCGTCGCGTGACAGAAATTCCATTTCCTCTGAACTTCGATGCACGTGGGAAACACATCGACCGGTACAATTTTCCTGTTTCTTGCTGACCGACTTCGCTCTCGTGCGTCGTTTCCACGAGAAGTTCGCAATTTAGAAGTTCAAGGCAAATCACAGGGAATTTGCAAGAAATCTTGCGTGTACTTGCGCGCGCGCTGTTCTGGGTTAATACGAGGTCCGCTATTAGCGGACCAGTGTCATCGAACATTTCTCTAGTTCGAGTGAAACCTGAAGCGAGTGCCGAGCGGGTCGGGTTAGAGAGAAACGTTGACATACGTGCCCCGTGACACCTATTTCGAGGTCTCTTTTTTTTTCTTCTTCTTCTTCTTTTTAGAACCTCGTTTACGCGAAAGGAATTCGTGAAAGGAATCCACGTGACTCGATGTAAATGACAAAACTTTGCCTCTGATATATGTATAATTGCCTCGAATCTTGACGTCTAAATTGGGAATAAAAATTTGTGGCATCGGAATGGCAATAAGTCAAAGTGAATGCTGGAGAAATTGCGAATGAAGAAAGCAAATTCCCTCTAGCCTCTTCCCTGTGTGATTGAACGGGGAAGTTTTGTGGGTCGTATTGGCCATTCGCGAAACGTACCATTACGGTGTGGCAAATAAAATGACGATACGGCTAGTCCACAGTACGGAATTCTTCCTATGATTATCGCATCTAGTAAACTACTGCGTGTCAGCCAAGTCAGGACGTTCGAAACTGTCGTTTGAATTACCACTAAAACTGAAAGTGGCTGTATCTCGATGCAACGACAAGTTCGCTTGTCCCACTGGCACCATTTTCTGCAATCTCAAACTTTCAAACGTACGCCTAAACCTTCCGAATTACACCAGAAGCAAATTTCCTTGGTTGAATCAATGGTATCAATGGTATCAAGGACAGCCAACATCCCCTCCAACGAGCAAAGTCAAGGTAAAAATCACAAACGAGGAGACAGGAAACTGCGGTGGATCGGTGAAAGTTTACATAATATGTTGAACGATCGATATTAGGCAGACAATATCGCTCAGATCGTCAGATTCTTCTTCAGTCGCGATATTTTACCCGAGGGTCTGGGCGTATACGTTCATTTCTGCTGCTCGCCACGAAGGAGAAACCTTCATTTTACTTTTGAACGGCTCTCTTCTTCCCCGCGGGAACGAGAGGATCGACGAAAGGATTCCGGTGTCCCAAGAAAGGATGAATGAACACTGACGTAAGAGGCCAGCCGGATTTCCTTTTCGATCCGGTCCCTTCGCTATCATTGCGAAAAGGAGCCTCGTTTTATCAGCATGATTGTTGCGCGACGCGATTATTTTAAATACTCGACACGTTGCTTTTTTTACTAATGATCCGTTTCGTTGATTGAAATTTAAGGGCTTTAGTAGATGAATTATTACAGTATATGATCGAGCTGGGAAGTATAGAATTCCAAAAGTTAGGACTGGAGATCTTCGTTTCATTGATTTAGATTTGACGCTTTTAATGGGAAGATTAATACGCCTGGGCTACGAAGTGTAAAATCACGGAAGTTTGGCTGGATCAAGAGCTTCGTTTCATTGATTCAAATTTGTCGCTCTTAGTAGGAGATAATGAAATAAGAAGTAATAGAATCAAGTAGGTTTAAGTGGATTGAGATTATTTGGCGATAGGGGATTGGAAAAGTGCCTGGTCAGACGCGTGTAGAGGAGATGAGGACGGTACCTGGTCAGACTTTCCACGTATCTCCACTATACTTAACGCTTTGATTTAAATTGTTATTACACAAAAATTAGCAAATTTCTCTTACTATATATCTCTAGGTACTTTTGGGTAATTACGTAAAGAACCTAAACAAACACACAAAGGAATAATATAACGAATATCAGAGAAAAATGTGATGCGTAAAGAGTAAAGTGAAAAAAAAAAAATTGAAACTTATCTTAGAAATCTCGCGTACTCTCTAGAACGATCGTTACGCTCGATTTCCCAGATTCGTGCGAGACGCGAGAGTGTCGGCGGCACGCGCGCGGAATTCGAATGACCGGGCACCTACACGCGCGGCTATTTCGCAACCGAAATTCCACTTGGCCACTTTGTAACCGCTCCTTAGGTCGGGAGGAGCGAAACGAAAACGACAAGAGTCCCGCGCGCGCGCGTGTGTGTGTGTGTGCGTGCTATTGCGGGTCTGTGTGTGTGAGAGTCACTGCAGGGTCAGAGTAGAAAGTGGTGTGTTCGCGTGTGGATATACGAGCAACTCGCGATGAAGGTCGGATCCGGGATGTTTGAACCTGATCTATACTAGTTTTCTTTCATTCATGACGATCGTGTTTCAACGTTGAAACGCTCACGCGAGAAGGAGAGAGTCACGCCGATTTCTGACCCCTTCCTGCGGAAATTACCGATCGACACAATCCGCTACGAGACTCTTTACTTACGAGCGCCACACACATACTCGGAGAGCGAACTTGCGCCGCCTCGAATTGGATACAGCCAGCTGCACGACTGGCGAAATAGGTCTTCCATCTACGCCAATGGCCTCTGCTTCTTCTTCTTATCTACCGCGATTAGTGCTGTTAACTCGTGTACACCGTTCTACCGCTCTCTACTGGCAATTGTTAATTGGAGGATTCTCGTTAATTGCTCCTCTCTGGCTTTGCAACGTTCTTCTTGGAAGAGAAAACGCGGTGGCTGGTGGTTGGGGCATTGAATCGTATAATTTCATTAAATCGGATTATGTCAGACGTAATGTACGCGTAATTTAGATTTTAGATTTTAGACATGCGATTCCGCGATCAGGTCATTTCCCAGTCTGAGATTCTTTCCCGAGTGGAAAGAATGCGAGACAATTTCCAAGTTCCAAATCCTCAGACTGCTTTAATTAATAAACTTCGGACGTGTACTTTCGAAGTTTTCATTTATCTTCCTTAGTCCGAAGTTTGGCACTAGCTACAACTTTAGGACAATTTCCAAATATACTTTGTCTAAATCCCTAAATCCCTAAATTTGCCCTATTTGCCTCGAGATCTGCCCGAGAATTTCCCAACAAATTTCTAGTAAAAACTTGTCGCGTCGAGTGTTACGAGCAAGCCACGAATGAGATACAAAGCGACGAGAGTAGAATAAGGTTCGGGATGAAAGGGAACAACGGAAGAGAGGAAGGTTTTCTCTGTGCGTCTCACGGTGGACGTACGGTATTCGTCGGCCGTGGGCAGGTCGCAGGTCGCGGCGGATGGATGGGCGGCTGTGAACGTGTGCCCGAGCACCTATCCGCGTTCACCGGGGCCGAATACTTTCGTCGGTTAGGCCAGCTAAATGGCCCGGACGGAGCACGGCGACGCCGTTGAGGCATTGTGACGACACTCCTGTATGGCAAATAGGAAGAAAAAAGAGACAAGGTGGGGCAGTGACGCGTACGGGCCGAGAGGAGGGGCCCGCCAAATATAAGCTAAAGAGATTGCACGATGGACCACACGAAGTTTCACTACCAACGGGACGGGTTTCGGAAAAAGGAAAAGGGAAAGAAAGGGCATTAATCGTTGCCCTCGTGTTGTACTCGCAGCAGCCGATAACATATCGTTTCTTTTGGACTTTCCGTTTCGTCGTCACAGCCACCATGAAAATATTCGCCGTTGTGGTTTTAACGTCGGCCGTTGTACTGGCCTCTGGACAAAGTCTGGACGATTGTCTGCAGAGCGACAGCATCTCTTGCGTGCAGAAGAGCCTGTACCGGAAGGCGAAGGAGTTCTTCGACAAGGACAGCCTCGAGCTGTTCAGTGGTGTTAGCTTGGTGAAGAACGCGGACAGCCGGGGAAGAAGCTCCAGGACTAGCAAGGAGCTGATGTACGAGCAGAAGATCGACGCGGCAAACAGTGTCACCGACCGGCAGAGTGCTCTCGAGAACTTTGTCAGCGACGAGGCTGGCGAGTTCCTGGCTGGTCGCAGTCTCAGGGTAAATAGACTGTCGTCGAGATGATTTATCGCACTTATTTCGTTTAGTAATTTCCCACTCGACACGGTACGTCTTGGATTTGTAGATCAACTTTGCGCCCGCCTTTGAGAAGATCGGAGAGTCTGCTCGTGCCCTCAGCGACTCCGCGCCAGAGGAGGTTCGCCAAGCAGTCAACGAAATCGTCGAAGGTACGCAAATAGTTTTAGGCTGCTGAAGGAACGCGCAACACTCATCCTTTCCGATTTTTCACCCTTGTCTCACCTTATTTTTAGGTCGAGGCAAGAAGAAGATGCTGAAATCGATCCTGCCTCTGCTCATCGCGGCGAAAGTAAAAATCGGAGCGTTGGCTACCCTCGCGTACTTCGCCATCGGTCTCATAGCCAAAAAGGCCATTTTCGCCTCTCTCGTTTCGATCGCCATCTCGGCGTTCATCGGACTGAGAGCACTGTGGTCCAAGAATTCCTACGACGTCACCCCTTACAGCGGATGGAGCGGCAATGCTGGATGGTCCGCACCGATCGCCAGCGGAGGATGGTCTTCCGGTGGATCGTGGGACGATTCTCACGGTTACGCGCAGAGCCAAGCGTACTCCGGATATCATCACTAATTTGAAATTATCCCCGTTTCGCGTAAATTGTTCCTTTTCCTCTACCTTCACTTTCCCCTCCATTTCTTCTTGCCTCCTTCCTTCCTTTCCCTTTCACATTTCATCCTTTCGTCCTCGCCGCCGATCCAAGAATCCCCAGGAGGCGATATCGACGAGACACCGTCGATAATTCACGGATCGGCAAATGCTATTTATTGTTTATTTATCCGAATCTCGAATAGTTAAGCGACCACGCCGTGGTTCCACGTGTAAATAATGTTGTCGTCGTAAGAGTGTACGAATAGAACTTTTTAGGCCAGACAAAGGACTTTGGAATCGAATGTAGAGGCTAGTCGCAACGCTTAGCGAGGGACGAACCAATCGTCGCTCGGTACCATTCCTCTCTCTCCCGATCGCAGCCCGACGCCATCTAGTCCAATACGATTTAGATGAACCCGTGTCGAATTACTCCTGTCATTGAGAATATCATTGTACACAATCAGATGCTCAGTCGCCAAATACAGAATTTTTAGAAAATTACACGACGATGTTTCTTCGATTACCCCCTCCCCCATCTCTTCGCGCCTCTTCCTTAAAAAAACGGAAGAAAAAGGAAAGATCGTCAAGTTATCGTTCCGGCGGACTCGCGAAGGCAGTCTGTCAAATTGTCGAACGAGTTTCTTTCTCGTTGTCGAAAATCATGCCGGATCCACGGCGAAAAGAGAAATCACTCGCCGACTTTCCAACCTTCCAGGAACCTCCGAAACGGTCTTGTTTTTTTCCTCTCTTTCTCTCTCTCTCTCTCTCTCTTTCTCTGTTCGCCGCGTGTTTCACCGGCGAAATTTCAGAGCTGTCGGCCTCGAAATCGAGCCTCGACGTCGAGATGGAAATGCCAGATGGCCGCGGACAATCGACCGCGACACGCGGCGGACCGCAGCCGAGGGGAAAGTGCACCGGCAAGGTGCACATCCGGTCGAGCGAGTCGCGCCGCGGCGACGCGCTACGCACACGCGGAGGTCGAGAGGCCGAGGCTCGCGTTCGTCATTCTTAATCGGGTCGAGAGGAACGCGAGCCTCGGACATTCTACTAAATCTTCCGCGACCGATGTCCTTAAGTCCCAGATAGAGGAGGAAAATGAGCGGCTGGAAAGGAGGTTGACGCAAAATTGCCATTTCTTCCGTCGTCGCTGGTTAACTCGCTCCGGGGCCTGCCAGTAAAAATCCTTTTTTGCCGCTGTTTTCTGGGCCAACGTTCGACGCGCGACTCACAGGCTGATTAGTGGTCGCAGCCGCCGTCGAGGTGCGAATGTAAAACAGCCTGCCATGGTTCGTACGCACGTTTTATTGTTTGGTAATGATCCGAGTTTTCCACGTAACGTCATTTGTCATTGAACGCCGAACGATAATTCTAACATTCACAGGAGGTGAAAACTTGAAGAAATTATAATATCGGATCGTCTTGATAATAGATCGTGGATTTTTATGTACTTGCAGGAAATTTCTAGGTGAAAAGTATGCATACAGTATGAAAAAGAATTTGTTTTTTCTGTGTCATTTAGTAATATAAAAGAGTTCTTAATTACGTTAACGTCGGCGATTAATAATAATGTCTTTAGAAGAAATTTGTTTCATTCATTAAGTATTTTATCGTCAAATATTACATCTTGTTGTATCTTCAAGTGTTACAATAATTTCTTTGACACAATTAAAAAGATAGAAAATTATCTTCCTTGAATGATAAATCTAAACAAATGTTTCAAATAAACATTCTTTTGAATTAATTATCTCACGTTTTAAACGAACGTTAAGCTTCTGTTCGCAATTGCCATCGAGCAATATCATCAGGAGAGAAAAAAATTGGGCGGCGATTGATATAAATCGGCGAGAACGATACCAAAAAGTGGAGTCGCTTGATAGAACGAAGGTGAAACGAATCGGGAGAGCAAGAACGCAAGTGTCACGGCTCGTTTACGTCCGGCCGTGCCGCGGCAGGATCGCGAGGGATCCCGAGGAAAAAAGATGCGAAATTATTTTGAAAGGAAGAGGAGACTTTCGTTGGTGGTAAAGTCACGCGGGGAGAGACACGGTGCATTAATCGTGACGCCGTGTCTTTTATTTCATTCAGCCTGCTGTACCTCTCTTCCTAACCAAGCACAATGAAACCGAGCGTTGAGCGCAGCCAACGTCAATTATCCTGTCATATTCGTTGAAGCATTATCGGGTTTGCAAAACCCGTTTCAATCTCTAGAACCGCCGCGTCGATGAAGAACGTCTCTCCATTACTGTCTCGTGAAAACGCGCCGAAAATGGAATATCTTTGTTCGTTGACGTGCACTTTTCTTTTCGTAAATTGTGCAATCTTTTACGATCGTTGAGCGAATACGGAATGAAACAGTCAGAAATGAGAAAAAGATAGAATGGTCCAGCGATCCAGTAACTAGGAAAGAAAACGAACGAGTGTGGGAGGGAGAAAGGAAGGAAGGAAAGAAAGAATGGGAACGAAAATTAGCGCTGCGCTCCACGCGCGTGACGGATCAGCTGATGAATAGAGGCTTTCTTTCGAACATCACAAAAGCGGAATTTCACCTCGCGCTGAAGTAACGCGAGAACTTCGTTCTATCTCGTTATTAGAGAGTTGTAAAATGGTGGAGTCGAACTTTGCTCGTACGTATCGAAATCTCGGTACGGTTCTCACGGCACGATTAGCCCCGGCCACCGAGTTCTCATGCGTCACTGGGTTACTCTTTGGCCACCCGTGGTTTTCCTAGTACTTTATTAGCCTCGTGGCGACCAGCGTTAAGCGTCGACAGATGTTCGTCGACATCAGCAGTGCCCGATCGCCGTGATTCGAATCACGCTGGCTATTGGAACAGTTCTGGTAGAAGCTCGCGGCACCGATTCTGTCGACACGATCGACACGATGGCGCGGAATTTGTTTCCGACAGATCCACTGGAAATTGGAAAGTTTCGATGCTCGGTAGCCTCCACTATGAGAATCGAAAATAACGTATTCTTCGTGAGCGGCGAGCGTTATTTTATCGCCCGTAATCGAGAACATCGTTTCTTCGCTTTGGGATAATTCCACGGTGAGAGAATTAATTCTGAATAAGAAAATACGACGTAAATAAGGGAAACCGTGACAAACGTCCTCTGTAATCATCCTATAGTTTTTTTTTCTCTTCTTAGATTTTTTTAGGTTACGTACTCTGATTTACGAATGGAAGATAACGAAAGAAAACGAAAGAAACGACACTGAAATTCCAATTTCCCGTGTATGTCGATCGACGGCACGCGATCTCGTCTTGCGTGTGCGTTCGATCGAGCAGCGTTGGCACGCAACACCTTGAACTTCGCCGTGAATTTCGAAACAACAATCGCCAGCTGACCCGTTACTCTTTCCCGCGGCTCCGCTCGCTCTCGTCGGGGTCGCCATTCAGACCTCTCGCCTGCATTCCGTTCGCGCGTCTAATTACGAGCACGATACTGCTTCCTTGTACCATGTGCAACGAAAAGTTCTTCAACTCTTCTCTAACTCTTCGTCTGATTCACGTCTCTCGTCAAATCTCGAAACGCCGGCAACTTTCAATGGAAATGATTTGGTACTCGTTTCGACACTTGACAGCTTTCTGATCGGTTGAAAGTGTGTCTCTCATTGGCTACTCTCTCACACACAGGCTCTTGACCTTTGATTCCCGCGTTCTCTAACCATAACGTCCTCGATACCGCGACTTCCACTGCTAGAAACCGTTCTCCGCATCTGTGTCTCCGACACCGCGTACGTTTCTCCGTTTTCACAATTTCGATGCGCGTTCGTTTCGCGTTCCAGGATGGTCACTCGTCCAGGCCGGGACGTACATTCGCTTTTGTTCACACGCGCGCAGAAACGTCGGGAACGTCGCGTCAGGTGGATGATTCCGCCTGGGGCGATGTTCGTTCTCGAGGACCGGACCGGGCATCTTGATCCTCGAAACCGGCCGGACGAATGGAGAACATCTCTCCAGAGGGGAACAGGGGAACCTGAGGCGAGATGAAGACAGGTGCGCCGAAAGAACATCGAGAAAAAGAAAAAGGGAGAGAGAGAGAGAGAGAGAGAGAGACAAGGCAGCCGAAACGAACGCCCGGCACTCGACCCAGTTGTAAATGGGTGAGCGACCCCGTTCCCGAGATAATATCTCGCGTCCATCATCCGCCGATGAATTTTTCGATGCTCCATCCGTGTCAACCTCGTCCATCCGATAGATGCAATTAACGATCCTCTACCATTAGAGTTGTTTCGATGCTTTTTTTGCGCCAGGATGTGGCGAACGATGACGAAACACGCGCGTGATTTCTTCGCGGGAGCGGTGCCACTCGAATTCGTAATTTAGGATCACCTGAATACAGGCTACGTGTACAGGGTGAATTTACGGGCAAAGAGTAACGGTCAAAGAGCACCCAAAAACGTAAGAAAGGAATTCAATCTCGGACATTAAATCTCGGATAACTGTAAGCGGCCCAGGACCGGTCTAGGCAGCTCCAACGCGGAAACAGTGTCATACTATTCCAGCAGAGTGTGACACCTTCGAATTTCTGCGTGACAACTTGGTTAATCTGCTCGTAGCGTAAAGCCACGCCAAATCGAAATGGGTCGTTGGATGGGGAAGTCTCATGCGCGTGCATCCTCCGATGCATCCGGAGAAAATCACGTAGAGGAGCGTACTCGCGATGGAGAAACGTCCTTGTCCCCTCGTCACGATTTCGATTCTCGCTGTCAACCGTTTATTTACCGAGCACATCCTGTCGCATGCGAAAAGGGACTGGATGCACGGTGAACGAGCATCGGTATCGCGCTCTCCCGTTAATAATAATAGACACGATCGGCGAAAAGAGAGACACGTGAAGTCGTGCGAGAAATCACAAGGGAGCCGCTTGTTCCCCACGACCACCGTCGCGTAGATTTCCCTCGTTGAATCTCCATTCCATCGAGGAGGAAGCCCTCCCTTCTACCACTCGGACCTTAATGGAGGCCGAAGTAGGTCTGCTATGGTCAGTAAGAAGAAGAAGAAGAAGAAGAAGAAGAAAAAGAAGAAGAGGAGAAGGAAGCACAATTCACGATAGATCATGGAGAACGACGAGAAGGAAAATGCAAGTGCATCCTTCTCCAGTTCCCTGCAGTTACTTTGCGTGTATCCTGATCTTGCACGTTCCTCTCTCTCTCTCTCTTTCTCTCTTCTTTTCTGTCCTTCCTCCCAAGTTTAGAAAGGACTCTTTTTTTTTTTATCTTGCCGAAATAACGAGATTCGCATGCGAGGAGAGGGATGACGAAAGGGGAAGGAGGGCTTCGTAGAGAGGCCTCCGAGGACTCGAGTCCGAAGAGAGGGATAGGAGAGAGGGGCGAGGAGACACGAGCAGAGAGGATATAGGGGGGGATTGCAAGCAAGGAGAAAGAAAGAGACAGCCAGTGGTAAGCGAACGCGAACGCGAACTCTCGGTGGCCCGTGCCCACGAGGTCTCCCCTCGTGCGATACTTCGGTATAAAAGCAAAGCAACCTCTTTTGGATGTAACACACGAAGTTCGATCGACGCTCGTCCTGGCGTCCTCTCCAATCGTGAACCGGCTGTGACAGATCACCGCGCGATCGTCTCGAGGATAACGCACGACAATTTCTTCGTCCTCGTCGTTCTGAACTCTCTCGTCGTAGACGCACGGTGGTGGTTCTTTCTTCTTTTTTTTTTTTTTTTTCGAAATCATTGAATTCCTCGTCGATCGGGTCTCGATCACGAGTATTCCGGGAAACATGAGCAAGTACTTTGTGACCATTCTGTGGCTGCTTCCGGTGCTGGCAGCGGCTCTGCCAGCCAACGACAAGCCTGGAAATGAAAACGACCTAATGGCAACCATATACAGCGATTGTTTGAAGAAAGAGTCGATCAACTGCATCAAGTACAAGGTATTCTCGTACGTGGACAAGATGCTCGCTGATAAGGAAGATATCACGCTCACAGACGGCATTACTGTGGTCAAGACGTCGAACGCCGAGGAAGGCGCACCTAGGTCGGTCCTCTTTCGCCAAAATAATGCCAGATAAATAGCACAGAGTCGAAAATATTGTAAATCTGATTTAATCGTTAATCTGATTCTGCGTTTTATAGGGGAAAAGTAATGCAGATTTGCATGTATTTCTGTCGAGCATGTTCCACGTTGCATTAATTGATTTTAATCGATCAATGTGCCCTTGCAGATCAATCGAGTCTAGCGATTTGGATACCCTTTTGTTCGACCGTTTGGGCAGGTTCCTGAAGACGCACTCTGTCAAAGTTGACCTCAAGGGAACCGATATCCTCGGTGCCATTGAGTCTGCCGGTCGAAGTTTCGAGGACTTCACCGACAACGCCGTCGAAAGTCGTGGCAAGAAGAGTGAGTATAAATCTAATTATAAAACCAATAAAAAATGTTGACTGATAACGTTCACTTGAAACTTGATTCCAGCTGAAACAGCTGACAAAGTTACCTCACGACAGACTTCCTCTACAAACTGTACGCGTTTCTTTTTTCGTTCCATCTACTTCTAATTACCAGTAACCAGGCTTCATCGAGTACTTTGATCAGTACTTGGATCCGAACAATAGACTAATTGGCTCTCAACTAATTAACGCGACCGAATGAATAGGTAGCCGAGATTCGCTCGATGCTGAAGTCGACAACGTGGCCAGCTCTCAAGGCACGTTGTCGGCGCTATTCAATGACAACGTTAACGACGATGCCGGGGAAGCTGGTCGCGAGACGTTGACCCACTGAGGAACTGGTTCCGCTTCCCCTTGAAGCGGCACCAGTGACCAAGAGGTGATTACCCACGAGCGAGCGAACAGACAGAGAGAGGAAGAGACAAGCAGGCCTCTCGAGATCTCACCGCGCGAGATTTTTGACATACTTTTCTTCGTGCGCGGGGTACGTCGCCTTGACCTTCGCCTATTCCACTTCGAGATCTCTCGGCGCGTATCGTCCTGAGAAAGGTCGGGTCGCGTGCCTCTGAGAAACTTCTCGCAGTCTCTCCTCGTGAGAAATTATTCAAAAGTTATTCAAACGTCGTGTCCATAAGAAGTGCTCGCTCGGTTCCCGAGTACATTGTACGTCGTAGCGATCGACGAGAAATCGCAGCCACGCTACATTGAGCCTCGTCTTCGCGGGCAGTTGACCGGAAAATTGCCAATAAAACGGTGACCACCTCCGTGAACCATCTATCCACGAGCCTGCTGGGTATCGGAATTTTAAACCTGTTACCTAAACAACTAGAGGAAAACTAGAAATTCCTCTAGCTCTTTAGAACAAAAATGTCTGTCGATGGCGAGGAATTGAGAATTCTCAGCGACAGTAAAACCCTTTATTTGAAATTCCTTTGATTGTTTCTAGCAGAGAGAGAGAGAGAGAGAGAGAGAGACATTAACCCACAAAAGATTTCACGTTACTGTTACCACGTGTCGTAACGATCGTCGAATTCTTTTACAGAGAAGGCGCAAAAGATCCTCGGCCCGCTGATGATGGCCTTGGCCTTGAAGGCCGCAGCCCTGCTACCCTTGGCCCTCGGCGCGATCGCCGCCATCGCTGGCAAGGCTCTTCTCGTCGGCAAGATCGCCCTCGTCATTTCCGCCATCATCGGGTTGAAGAAGCTGCTCAGCTCGAGCGGGAAACACGTGACGTATGAAGTGGTGTCGCATCCCCATCACAGCAGCAGCCACATCGTCAGCCACGACGACGGCGGCCACGGTGGCGGCGGCTATGGTGGCGGTGGCGCTGATTATGGTGGTTACTCCGGAAGCAGTGGCCACGGCTGGGCCAGAAGTTTACCTCAAGATGCTCATGAATTGGCCTACCGCGCTCATCAACCTCAGACAGAAGCATGAACAATCTCGTAGAAAGTTCCCTCACTTTCCTCCTTCAACTGTCCTCTTGGAACAACTCTTCCCTTTCTTCGTTTCCTCTTTCGTTTCTTCTCCTCTTCCTGCCTCTTCTCCGCGATCCCAGCGTTCCCTCCCTGTTTTATACGTATTTATTGTTCCTACTCTCGTCTCGATACATTCCCGTACGCTCTTTCTTGCCCTCTCTTAACCTTTCCTGGAATTTCTTTGGAATTCTCTGGTTTTTTTTTGTTTCCTTCTATTTTTCTACGACGAACCAGTACCTCCGCCAGATACTCGTTCTATGTATGTATAGCGTAACTCGAGCCTCTGTTATTTATTCATTGCGCCTGTAACACGACCTAGTGTTTTATTTATTTAATTTCATGCATTCGATCGTGTGCTATTTGTTACTGCCTGCATTTGTTCTTTGTAATAAAGAGATGGCGAACGGCGCGCAGCGTCTTGTCCCAAAGAAAAACGCAACATACGTGAGTGTGAGAATGCGAAGAACGTCTACACTAATTCCACTTCACCTGCGGCTTTGCCACCTGCACTCGGATCGCATTTGCATCCCGGAGATGCGATCGCGTACTTTACGAGCTTCTCGCCTGTTTTATATTTATGAAAACGAGTGAAAGTAGTATAGGAACGCGACGATGCATCCATTGATACCCTGCAATCAGATACGAACGCGACTACTATGGAGGATTCCGGTTAAGTATTATATAGAAAGTACTTACTCGCGTGCAACCCAAATGTGTCCGTTCTTTTTTTTTGGGGGGGGGGGGGGAAAGAGAGAGAACAAACTTGGAAGTTTCTCCAGCGTGACGTCCCATTTGTTTAATAACAAATAACAAGCAAGTTACAACTTGATCGATACCGTGGAATTCCGTGGTAAATAATGCAAAACGCCATTAAATGGTTGCAACGTCCGCTCGTCCGGATCGTGTCGCTACTGACCCAGCTACGTCCAACGATCGTTTAATGGCTCGTGAAGTTTGCCTCTGTTTCGCCAAAACACCCTCATTACTACCGCATGGGTTGCTCCGCAGTGGCCAAGCGAAACCGGATGCACCGCGAACTTCCAACCGGTAACCTGCATACCGACCGTATAATGAGAGGGGAACGCGTGGACCGTGTGCGTCGGAGCAAGGCCAGCCGCGAGTGAACGCGACGGTCCCATTGGCGAGCAAGTGACGCGTGATACGGGGTTTCATCAGCGAGGACCGTGATGCAGAAAATCGTCGGGCATCGGTGTATGTCCGTGCTTGCTTACGATTCGTCCAACCGGAAACCAAATCGTGGTTCCTGCTGGTGTCAAAGCGCCTCGTACTTCGAATCATTCGATGCGAACGACGTACGTCAATCGATGATTTCCGACTGAAAATCGGCGATTCCGTCGTTTCTTTGAGCTTTGCCAGTGCCCCCGTTTACGTCTACGAACGGTTTCCATTACCTCGTTCGCGAGATTCGTCGAATCATCGACTGACTCATCGAGTCAAAAGGAGCAACATGGAGCGTGGGAGAGGAACGAGGAGGTGGAAGGGAACGAGAAGAAATCGCGGCGCGGAACAGGGCCGGTTCCCCACCGAAATTTCAGCCGGCTGCTTTTCGACGCTTCACTGCGCTCGTGAACCCGAACACCGTCGTCGAGCAAACGATATCCCCTCCGAGGTCCTCGGTAGGCTACGCGTGTCTACGTGTAACGCGTTTTCACTTGGCGCGACCTAGTTTAACCGCCGCTCCGCCATCCGCCAGGACGAGAATAGCAAGGATGCATGGTGCATCGCCAGGATAAGAGGGAAAAGCGCCGCGTCGAGGCGCTCTAACCGGGACGGCGCTGATACGCCGGCATTGGCTAACGGTTCGCGTTAATTAACACGAATTGCTTCGTTTCTATTTTTATTCGTGTCATAAATGTGGAATACACACGTTCGTCGTATTCCCATGACGCGCGTCACGCGTGATACGGCTGTATTTTGTTGCAAAATAGGGGAAGAAAGGAACGAAAGAAAGAGGGAACGTGATTGCAATGTTCGAACGAACGTCGTGATTTGGTTAATCAGACACGTCCGTTGGATCGACCTTCGTCTCACTGTCGCGACGCTTTCGATTTCAGATTTATCGAAACACGACAATAACACTGACGGGGGTAGCGTGACTGTTAACGCTACAATCACGTTAGGAAATGCAGAAGGACATTCGAAGACAAGTGTGCACGTGGTTCGCCATAAGAGAGAGAATCTTCCGATGACGAGAAACGCTTTAGTGAGGCCGGTTTGGCGGAAGAATCGTCGTCGACAAGGGCGAGGACGGCGATCCGGTGTAGAGTAGCGAAACGATTCGCCGGAATCGTCGGTTTTATCGGTGGCAGGCTGGTGGGGCTGGGTCGGTCTGGTAGGTAGGAGTGGAGGAATGGATGCGAATTCCGGGCTGATCCGGAGAGGAACTCTGCTCTCTACCGATGACGATGGTCCCCAGGTGGTTAGCGAGACGCGGTCTCCGCTCTCGAGTAATCTCCTTGGCAATGAAAATTCTCCCACAATGGTGGTATTCGTACGCGTCGTGGCGCAACGGTGGGGAGAATATCACCGGCCACGGAGGTACACTTGACCAGATATATAGAGCTAGGGCAGGGCTTCCGTTACCGACAGTCCAGTTACAGTGCTCTGCGTAAGCACGCATCTCACGCGGCCCAAAGTGTCAAACGACTGGACAAACTGGTGGCCGACAAGCTTCGACCAGCTTGTTCTCGAAATATCGAGCAACGAGTAGTATTAGCGGAGAAGTAGCAAGTCGTTTAGTTTCTACTCGCGTACAGTTTCTCTATAGATTTCCCTTTTGGTGGGTAACAAAGACTTTGAAGAGATCTCTTCTCGGACAGTATCACGGAGATTGTTTTCGTTCTGTTTTCAGATTCTTTGCAAGATGAAACGCCTGACGCACTGTTCCGTGTACTTGGCCCTTCTGTTGGCCTTGGCTTCGGCGAGGTCGGCCGAGACCAATCCCACGACTAATTCCATCAACGAGGAGACTGCCAGGTCCACAGGGAACAGCAACGTGTTTGGAGATCTTCGACAGATGTATCAGATTTACAAGGAGTGCGCGGATGAGGATCTCAGTTCTTGCTTGAAAGTAAGACTGCTGTCTGCCATAGACAGGGTGTCCAGAAGCGCTCAGTTGAACATCGCCGATGGAGTCACCTTTGTCCAAGACGACCCGATCTCGAGCGCGGACGAACCGCCAAAGTCCCTTCAAGAGATCGAGGCTGGTCTGCCTAGAGCTCTGGACGACAAGGAGGACGCGCTCAACACCATGATCTTTGACCGAGTGATGAAATTCTTCCAAAGCCACACGTTGAAACTGAAGCTGTCCAACGTGGAGGAACTTCAACGAAGTTTGGTAGAGGAAGGTAACAGAGAATTTCTATCTAATTTCTATCTAATTGCCCCGTGACGCGAGACGTTAGAACGTTGCAAATTCGTGTCAATTTCGTTCAGAGCAATCATCCGAGAAAAGAAAGTTTCCGGTTCCGATTTCCCGGTCTGGTAGACCGTATGGCCCACTATTTTCCCCTCGGCAGACTCTGGAACGAACTCGCCGCGAGTTGTTTTCTTTTTTTTGTATAGGAAACAATTATCCAGCCTAATTCCGAATCCAATCGTTTTAAATTCGTTTAATCGCGTGTTTTTCATTGATCATTTCCGGATGCAGGTCGCAAGAAGAAAAAGAACATAGGAGGTTTGCTCGCTATTCCCCTGTTGATCGGTGGAACACTGGTACCACTGGCCTTGGGAGCGTTGGCTCTTCTAGCTGGCAAGGCTCTGATCGTCAGCAAGCTCGCTCTGGTATTGGCCTCTATCATCGGCTTGAAGAAGTTGGTGTCGGGCGGTGGGGACCACGGGCACGAAGTCGTTCAAGTAGCCGGAGGCCACGGATCCAGCGGATGGGCGAGATCCAGTCACGATCTCGCCTATTCCGCCTACAAGCCGTCGTCTACTTAGGAAACAATAAAGGAACAGCAGCGAGACGTATTTTCAATCTCGTTAGAGACTTCGCTTTCACGAGGCATCCGCGCGATTCTCGCCGCGGACGTCGCTTTCCTCCTCGACCGTTCACCTTTCTCATCTTCGCATTTTCCTCGACTTCTTCTTCCTCCTCCATTCTACTTTCTTTCTTTCTTTCCTTCCTTCTTTCTTTGTCGTCCGTCTCCTTTCCCACTCCTAGCCCTCCCTCTCCTCTAAACGATCGTTTCATTCACAGTATTTATTGTTTTTGTACGGAGCTGCCAGGCAGCCGTGTATATTTATAAATATGAAAATATATTAAGATTGACTTTTTGTTTGTACCACCGACCAACTTGTTCTTTACACCTCCGCTTTGCGCATCCTCGTGTTCCCCGAGCAAGCTACCTCGATTTAAATTAAATCGGACGATGATAATCGATCGAATCGTATCTCGGAGAAGGAACTCGAGGCAACTCGATGGCAACGCGGGTGCGAAGTTCGAGCGAGGCTCGATAAAATCCGCGTAATAAAGTTCGTCGAAGTTCAGCGAATTGCAACGCTCATCGAAAGTAAGTAGTGTTCGACGAAACGAGCCGCGACACGATCGAAGATATCGTCCGGCGCGTTTCGCGTCGCTCGATACAGGTCAGGAAAGCGCCCGTACTTCCGCCTTCTTCCTCTATCGCGCGGCGATCGAGCCAGAGCTGAGCGGACGAAGAGAGCAGAGACGCACGTCACCTACATACTGGAAACGCGCGAGCACCTTACGCACTTGCCTCGGACCTGTGCGCTCCAGCCCGCACACACACATACACACACGCGCGCGCGCGCGATTGAGAAGTAAACCAGGCCGAGCAGGCCGACCAGGCCAGCCAGCATCCGCGCCGAGCTGAGCCGAACCGAGCCTTTTCAACCCGAGAGTCTAACACTCTCCACCGTTCCGGAGAAAAAGCTGTGTCTCTCTTTCTCCCTGGATCCCCTCCTATCGAACCGTCGATCGATCTCTCCCTCTTGCCTCGGCTTATGACGGCGAGGTTCATCGATCCTCAAACACATCTCGGGTCAGGTGGTCCCGTTCCGAGGATCCCAGGCCTCGGCCCTTTTCGACACTTCCGAAAGTTGTGCCGAGAGCCCACGAAATCATTCACCTCCTTTCCTCTATATCCACACATCTCCTCGTGCACGTGTTTCACGAGATTTCGTTAATGGAACTGGCCAAGAATGGATTTGTTGTATTTGCTGTTGAACGTGAGAATTACCATCCACTCGGGAACAGTATCGAGATAGACGAATGTAGGTTAGAGTTGTTTCCTTTTTTCTTTAGAT